TCTAATCCAGTAGAAATGTAAGTTGATTTTTACTCATGTTGTAGAAATGTAACTGTTATAATTTGAAGCTATGACTTTTAGTTTTGTTATTTTTCATAATGATATTGATACATTGTCATGGAACATCTCGTGAGTATTTAGACTCAGTTCCGAAGTGGCAGTTGAGCAATACACACCTTGGCTACAAGTGCTCCTCTCTAGTGAATTATTCTCTCTGATAGAGAGAGCCACAATTGCTAAAATAGTAAACTTTCAATTTCATTTTATCTGTGTAGAGATCATAACGAAGGAGATAGCGCACCAGTAGAGGGGGCATCAAGAAACTGTGCTGGAGGCAATCCTGGCGTTCATCAACATAGGCATTTACATCATCATCTTCATCATTATCACCATCAACCTCCACGACTACATCATTTTACTCCTACTCCAGGTGTACATGTGTCGTTTGGACACAATATCGTAAGTATATTTCAGAATATTAATTCTATGTATGATTTGTAGTTGGGTATTTTGCTAACACAGCGAACATTTCATAATGTCACTGTGTCACACTTGTGGGGGTACTGAATTCCCAAAGAAAGTTCAAAGATAACTACTTTATTCTGTTACAACGTTACAACAGCAACTAAAGATAAAACAAATTGAGATTCAAGAGCAAAGTTCTAGGAACAAAGTTGGAAAAAGTGATCATGATTGATTTATTTGATGACACATGTCAGAACATTTGAAGCAGTTTGATACTTCATGATAATAGTCTACATCTTGTCACCTATCTAGGACTCGCTCAAAAAATGCTGTGAACCATTTTGTGCTGAGAAAACAATGTTGTGTATCCAATCATGGCTAAAACAAATTGGCTTCACATTCGACAAAACTTCCCAATGTTACGCCATTTTTTTTCCTCCCTCTGTAGACCCAGCAGATGCCTGAAATGATACCACCACTATTCCCGACTAGACATTTCCCACCGATGTTGGGACGCGTTAACGTCATGTCTAGAACCGCCAGATTAATGTTTGGCAGACCAACATATGAGGTATTTCATTCCCATTTCATTGTTACCGTAAAGTACTTATTATATCCCACACTGCTACTGTATCCTAGCAACTGTCAATAAATTTCTTGAATTACTCAAAACGATGTACCAATACTGTAGAATACTTTATTTTGGCTATTTTCGCTGAAGGGATGATTCCTTGAAAATAAAATCCAGCGAATATACTTTTTTTCCTATATTTCACATTCAACTCATCAAAAATCAGTGAAAATAAACTTGTTAATGCATGTTAAAGTAGTGAATAATTAAATGCTTTTTGGATTGATAAATGTGATATATCGTTGATAATGTACATGTTGGTATGGTTTACTATACATGTATTTGAGTAATTAATTGTATATTTCGTCTCCCATAGGAACTGGTTAACTTAGAGGATAGATTAGGTCATGTCAACAGAGGAGCTTCACCCACTACAATAGAACGTCACACTTTCCCCCATAAATATCAAAAGGTATGTAACGATGTTATACTTGTTCCTATTTAAACCAGGGTTTGTATGATCCTTGAATATACTGGAAAGTCCTAAAAAATGTACAATTACTATTGCAAAGTGGATATCACCATTAACCTTTTTACCATAAGACTTTCTCGCTCCAAATTTGTCTGCACTTTTTAGTCCTCGTCCTGACGCAGTCCAAAAACGGGAACTTATGTTTTGACCTCCGTGCGTGCGTGCGAACCTGTATCTTAGGAATGCCTGGACCAATCACAATCAAACTTCACACATACATCATACATGATATTATATGGTTTGAGCAGCAGTGACTGAATACAATGTTTACATAAATAAATTGGAAAATTACAGTGATATTGCACATTACACTTTACCCGATAATAATTGTTTTGCTTTTTTGGTGTGCAGAAAACGGGAAAAACGCATGCTTGAGTTCCACGTCCAGTGAGATTCAGGTCGGGAGGCCAAACGTTTTGTTGGTTATTTAGGGCTGATATTAGAAAATAATTCGCCTATGTTTCAATTATTTCATTCCATCGCCAAACCTGTTCAAGAGACTGACTCATTTCTACTGGATCCGTGCCCTGGAAAGTTTATTATTATTATGAAGGACTAGTTCTCGTCGC